ACTACAGGACACCATAGATAATCCGCAGGAAGACGAGGACGCCATCTTTGACCCATCAGGTCAGAAGTTATTTGATCCGAGGAACCTAAGACACCCTCGTTCAGGGGACTGGACACCCCCAGATCATCTTGCAAAATTCATGCATCTTTGGCTGAGAAAGTCCATGGACAAGACAGTCCGCAACCGACTATGGTCCGAATGTCCAAGACCTTCTCTACCCGATTACGTGGCAGAGACACCAGAATTTGACCAGGTGATGACCACCTTCATGTCCCGAGGTGGCCGGGACCCACGCAAAGGCGTGGAGAAGGGTTTCAGAGCAGTCCAAGACAAACTGCTAGACTCAATAGGACCACTTTCCAGGATCATGTAACTGGCAGACGATGCCCTCACAAAGGCAGACCAATTTGACGCGACCATGGTTCGCGAATGGGCTCATGATGTTCGGGAGTGGGCACAAAGATGTTTTTGCTTTGTGGGTAACACAAATACAGCCCTCTCCTCCGAGCGGCGCAAGGCAGCACTACTCCGTATCGACGGAAAGTTGGTGGAATTGGGCACCAAGGAATTAGGCCCTCTGGCACAGGGCAAACTATTTGGCGATCCTTTCCTCAAGGACTTGAACAAGCATGTAAATATCTTTACTTCCCTGAACAAAGCTCAGTCCTCCATGAGGAGAGTTTTTAGACATAACCCCACCAGGGGTGTTTTTGGACGGGCTGGCCGCCAAAGGGGCCGTGCTGCCAGCCGATTCTGGCCTTCAGGCCCCCGTACCTCAAGACCTCACTCTTTCTACCCAGAAGTGGGATACAGACAACACTCCTCATATACCCGAGGAGCGGATAGAGGCCGTGGACCACGTACCCGAGGCAGAGCACGTTTCTCCACAGGTAAGCAATCACCTAACGCATTACCTTACTCTCCGCCCAGCAGGTCGCATATCTTTGTTCTTTCAGGAATGGCAGACCATCTCCACAGACGCATGGATCTTACAAACTGTTCAAGGGTACATCATCGACTTCACGTCACACCCACAGCAAACAGTCATACCGCACCCGATCAAATGCTCGACAGAAGATGCCGAACTCCTACACAACGAGTTGATGGAACTTCGATCGAAAGGCGCAATAGAACCAGCCTCCGGACCTCATGGTTTTTTCAGCAACATATTCCTGGTAAAGAAAAAATCAGGGGATTTTCGACCCGTCATAAATTTAAAAAGACTCAACGAATACGTCACGTACAGACACTTCAAGATGGAAGGCATACACCTCCTGAGAGACCTACTACAGGACAAAGATTGGTTCACGAGATTGGACCTAAAGGATGCATACTTCTCAGTACCCGTCCACCTGTCCTGCCGAAAATTCCTACGATTCCACTGGCAGAATCACCCCTGGCAATTCACATGCCTTCCCTTTGGCCTCAGCTCGGCTCCATGGTGCTTCACCAAACTGCTGAAGCCAGTAGTTGCTCATCTTCGCGCACAAGGAATTCATTGCATTATATACCTGGACGACCTCCTTCTGTTCTGTTCCGACAAGTCCAGACTGACGCAACACACAAACTATACCACGGACCTGCTATCATCCCTGGGCTTCATGGTGAACTTTCAAAAGTCAGCCATGTCACCATCCCAAACGGTGCAATTTCTAGGTTTCGAGATAGACTCCACCACGAGCACCCTACGGCTACCTGCATCAAAGATCTCGAATATTCGCAAAGAATTGCGCAAGACCATTCGCGCCCACACCATTCCACTCCGCTCCCTCGCTCGAATAGTGGGACTCCTCTCAGCTTCCATACAGGCGATCTTTCCGGGCCCACTTCACTACAGGGCAATGCAACGCCTCAAAGCATCCTTCCTCAGACACAACCCATCCTACGACCAACCAATCCCGGTCACGGAGGAGGTCAGGGACGAACTCAGATGGTGGCTGGACAGCATGGAAGCATGGAACGGTCGGGCCATCTTCGGGAGCACGCCCGACTTAGTTCTGGAATCGGACGCCAGCCTCTGGGGATGGGGCGCCACAGGCGCAGGCACGTCAACAGGCGGGACCTGGACCTCCCAGGACCTCAACTTACACATAAACTGCCTAGAACTCCTGGCAGGTTCATTTGCCATCCGCAGCTTGGCAAAAGAAAAGATGGACTGCTGCATCCTCCTAAGGATGGACAACATCTCAGCAGTCCGCTACATCAACCGCCTGGGAGGTGCCCGATCCCGGATCCTCTCGGAAATAACGAAGGAGATCTTCGATTTCTGCCTACCCCGCAATATCTCCCTCAAAGCAGAATACCTTCCCGGGGAAACGAACCTCACAGCGGACTGGTTTTCACGCCACTGGAGGGATGCCAGCGACTGGAAACTGGATCCACACATCTTCCAGGGTCTAGCGGCACACCGGGGTCCATTTCACCTAGATCTGTTTGTGTCTCGCAACAACAGACAAACGCAAGCATATTTCAGTTGGCTCCCAGACCCGGAAAGCAAAGCAACGGATGCCTTCCTACAACCATGGCCGATCACGGGAGCATATGCCTTTCCCCCCTTCGCCATGATAGCACGGACCATTCACTACCTGAGACAGCAGGGGGTATCCCTGCTACTCGTCACACCTCTATGGACAGGACAACCTTGGTTTCCGGACCTCCTAGCCCTATCTTACAAGGACCCTCTCCTACTACCCTCTCACGAACATACTCTCACAGATCCGAAAGGGAGCCCTCATCCGCTCGTCCTGGCCAACCGACTCACCCTAGTGGCTTGGACTCTTTCCGGGGTGCCTGGCAAGTCGGCGAACTATCGCAGGCTGCTAAGGACCTCCTATGGGACTCATGGGCTCCAGGAACCAGAAGATCCTACCTACATGCGTGGAATTGCTGGTCCAATTGGTGCTTGGAACGGAACGACGATCCATTTACGGCCTCTATTCCTACCATCATAAACTTTCTAACACACCTATTCTCCTCAGGACGATCATACAGGTCCATTAACGTAGTCCGCTCAGCCATCTCAGCGGCCCATGTTCCCACACTGGGAATCCCAGTGGGAAAAGACCCACTGATATGCAGACTTCTAAGAGGCATTCGATTACAACGACCTCTGGAACCAAAATATTCACGACTCTGGGATGTCGAGGTAGTCCTCCGCTTCCTGAGAGAATGGCCGACCAACGACAATCTCTCCCTCCGGCAACTCTCTGCGAAACTGACAATTCTGCTCTGTCTAGTCTCATTCCGCAGGGTATCGGACGTCCGAGCGTTTGACATAGACGCGTTCTCGGTCTCCCCGGAGGGAGTCACATTCCAGATATCGCGTCGCACGAAGTCTGACTCTGCGACGGTTTTTTTACCCTTTCTTCAATTCCGATCCACAACTCTGCGTCGTGGCCACACTACGGCGATATGTGGAGGTTACGCTTCCGATACGGACTCCAGCCTCAGGGCAACTCCTCGTGTCATACGTTCGACCGCACGTCCCCATCACTACTACCACCCTAGCCAGATGGGTTCGGTGGATCCTTTCTTTAGCAGGCATAGACGCTTCTTTCGGCACTCATTCGGTACGTGGGGCGGCGGCTTCCTCAGCTTTCACAGCGGGTGCCTCACTAGCAGATATATTACGTTCCGCTGACTGGTCTAGAGAATCCACGTTTCGCACATTCTATTTCCGCCCGAACTCCAACGCGGCATTATCACTATTACAGCGTTAAAAAATGCAAAATAGGAAGCCTCCTGTCATGTGATAAAATTGAAGATTATGCTAGCGTCAGTGTACTTATAATCTTAATTTTAATAATGACAGGAGGCGAGTATTTTCCCACCCTTCCCACCCTAGGGAAGATGGGAACATTTGAATTCTGATATAACCTATCTCATCTCTCATTTCTATCACTACATCTGTCATAGCGGGATTTGTTCATATGCTAACACACTTAGACGGGGATTGGTATATTCCTGTATGTACTACTATTTGTTACTATATATATTGGTTATACTCTTGCCTTAAAAAATATTGTTGACGGCCCAAGGTCACTGTAACAAACAGTTCTAAGATCCCATTCTAACCCATTTCACACTCTCATTTCAGTTTAATTCGGTGCCACCCTGGAGTTTCTTCGGTATTCTACCCGGAATTCTTCTTACTACATGAAGATCAGATGTTCACCCGTTGGTGCAGATTACAGTCTTCATCATCCCACTACGAACGTTTACCTGTTGTGTTTACTCGGATGTTATGTATTGAACTTTATTTTACTATCACGATGTCGCTTCTGAAAGAGGGGGAGGAGCCTAATTGTTGGGTACTTCCTACTCCCTATTGCATTTTTTCATTGGTTAAATGTTTCACTTTCTTTACTGCTGTGGAGTTTAGTAAAGAGAGAAATGCAAAATACTCGCCTCCTGTCATTATTAAAATTAAGATTATAAGTACACTGACGCTAGCATAATCTTCAATTATTATGGACCTGCTACTTGGGCAGAAGATGGCACTTATGGATATAGAACTCCGATATATATGCTCAACCACATTATTAGACTACAGGCGGTAGTTGAGATTATTACTAATGAGACAGCTCAAGTGCTTAATCTTCTAGCTAAGCAAAATACCAAGATGTGATCAGCCATATACCAGAATAGGTTAGCCCTTGATTACTTACTAGCAGTAGAAGGAGGTGTATGCGGAAAGCTTAATCTAAGTAACTGTTGTCTGCACATAGATGATGAAGGGCAGGCAGTGGCTGAACTTACAAGCCACATGGTTAAATTTGTGCATGTACCGACTCAGGTCTGGAATGGGTATAACCTAAGTAGTTGGTTTGGAAGTTGGTATGAGCAGCTTGGAGGAATTAAGACATTAGTAGGAGGAGTAGTGTTTATCATATTCTTATGTCTTTTTCTGCCCTGTCTAATTCCACTAGTGGTCAGGTCCCTACGTAGTATTATAGAGAGTACTATAGAGAGAAAGACAGCTGCCCATGTAATGGCTGTCTGGAAGATATGATCCCCTAGCCCGAAGAGAATATATTCAGGATGAAGAATGTTGAAGGAGTTTTTAAGATGCTTACAAGGTCTACTCTGGTTAAATGGCTACTTGAGAGATGTAGGTAAAACTGTGATTGGTGATGCATCTTGAATAATGATATATCAGAGGCATCAAAGGTGGGAATGTGATGGGATTCCAGCATGGTCAAAATTTAGTAGGCCAAAATCTCCATGTGCCATATGTGTATGTTGTGTCAGTTGGTTAGCTACATGTAGCTAGGATACTGTCATCAGTGTACTGAGCATGTGCAGGAATGCAGGAACTGAAATTGCACTTATTTCCTTTGTCTTGGATGAGCCATGTGGTTTGACTAGATGTACAAGTCTATAGTCTGCTCATTGATTGGTTAAAGGTATATGTGGGTGTAGCTATTAATGGGAGGAGTTATAGTGCTATATAAGGAATGTACACTATGTGTTGGTCTCTCAGAAAGTTGGAACAGGAGTTCATCTGAGACCCGATCGGTAATGTGAATAAAGGCCTCTTACTTCCTGAAAACCTGTGTCCAATATCTTTGTGTTTGGCTTCTGCATGCTTACACTGCAACATCTCAAACAGCAGCAAAAGCTACAGCTGGCTGACATCCTGCATTGGCCGGCGTATAAATTTGGACAGGTCTGCGTCCACTTTTAATCCATAAGCTTCCAATTTAGGTGGTGTAGTTCAGGGGTTGGAAATACCTTCCTCCACAGGGTAAAGCCTGGCCTCTTTTCTAATATTTTGGAATGTGGCTGCACAGTGATAGGTTATGCTGAAGCGGCTACCTTCTGGAGTGCATAACCGTTTTCCTTCCACTGTTTTCCCCTCATAACCAGAACCTGGTGTAGATTCAGACATCAGATAAATAATAAATAAATAGAAAATAAATATTACCTGTGGCAAAGTACTAAAGTAAAAGAGTGCACTGTTATTTTTTTTAAGAAACCAGTGAAACAGATTTAAAACTGGCTGAAGCACTTATCCATGTTTATACTTACCAAATAAATTTGGGATGTTTACTGTAATTTTCCCTTTCTTTTAGGTACTTTCTGGCAATTGCCCTTATCCAAGATGGCTGCCACAACTTGTATTCCCACAATGCAAGACATCTGTATTAGGCCCTTTAAGGCACAAACTGCAATTTCTGCATTTACTTTTCTGAATGTGTTTGCTGTTTAGTGACCAGGGAGAGAGCTCAGTCTGAAGCATACATGGCCCCTGTACACCCAGGGAACAAATCACTGGGACCGAGGGGAAGCAAAACAGATCATGTAATAGTGCCTGCAAGGTAGTTAAAAGGCAACAAGGTGCAAAAAGTCAAAGTTTAAAGGCACCACAGTATAAAGGCCTCATAAACAAGAGAAATCTCAATTTATCTTTCCTGGTAAAATATTTTATAAATAAATAAATAAATAAATAGTATAAAAGGCATCATAGCCTTAAGGCACGGCTGCATAATGTATCACCGTTTTAAATGCACCGCAGTCTTAAATGCATCACAGTTTTACATGCAACAGTTTAAATGCAACAAAGCTTAATTGCAACACAGCTTAAATGCTTCCCAGTATAAAAGCACAACTGCACAATGTACCACAATTTAAAGATATTACAGAATAAGGTACTACTGTATAATGCACTCGTTTAAAGACATCAAAGCTTAAATGCATCACAGATTAAATGCATAAAAGCACAACTGCATAATGTACCACAGTATAAAGGCACCCTAAAATAACAAAAACAAATAAAGTAATGAAGAGAAAAAACATACATGTATGCAAGTAAAGGGAGAAAATTGCTTACATTCTAAGGACTGTAGGACAGGAAAAAGACTGAGTACCTTAGTGTGATGGGATTTCAACATGGTTCAAAATTTAGTAGGCCTGAAATCTCCATGTGGCATATACATGTACAGGTGTTTGTTGTATCTGTTAGTTAGTTACATATAGCTAAGATACTGTCATCAATGCACTGAGCATGTGCATGAATGTAGGAACTGAAATCACACTCTTTTCTCCTTTGTTTCGAATGAGCCATGTGGTCTGACCGGAAGAGCAAGTCCAGACTCTGTTCATTGATTGGTTAAGAGTATGTGTGGGTGTAGCTATTTATGGGAGGAGCTATATTGCTATATAAGGAATGTACTCCATGTGTTCTGGGCTCAGATCTGTTTTGGAACATTAGTCCATCTGAGACCCGATCGGTACATGAATAAAGGCCTCTTACTTCCTGAAGACTTGTGTCCATATCTCTATGTGTGGCTTCTGCGGTTTGCTCCTGTTATTCCTCCGGTAACATTAGGAATGGAGCCTCCTTTTAAAGCCTTGGTGTTTTTCCTGTCCTATCGGCTGTAAGGGGCAGAGCTAACCCGTGTGTATATGCTGCCATGATTAGCCAGGAAAAATATATATAATTTAATTTAAAAATATATATATATTTTCAGTTTTTTATTTATTTTTAATCATTATTTTTTTATAATATATATATATATATATATATATACACAATATATATAGTTATTATATATATTATATATATATTTGTGTGTCATTTTACTCTAAGTGTATTTTTATATTAATATATGTAGATATTAATAAAAAAAATACACTTAGTATGACGTTATATATAAGACGTTATTTATATATATATATAAAATTTGTTAACTATATATTTTTTTTGTAACTTTTTTTTTTTTTAAACATTTTTTTTTTACTTTTTCACCAGCAGGGGGACGGCCTGTCAGTTCACGCAGTCCCCCTGCTGGCAGCACTGTGGACACCTATGGGGGCCATGCACATGGCCTCTGGGGTTCCTAAATTGGAGAGGGGGGACTGTCTGGACTCAGCCCAGACAGCCCCCTCTAGGAAGAAGACCGGGGGATCGGCGGCGATCAGTAAATACATCAGGAGGGTAGGGGTTATTTTTTTTTTCATGATCGCTTCCAGCTCTCTAATTCACTTAGGACGTATCAGGTACATCTGCGGTTCTTAAGAACCATTTTTTTGTCAGAAGTACCTGATACGTCCATGGTCCTTAAGGGGTTAAAGGCATTGCATATTTCTTGAACTGGTTTCGGAATGTACCGAGAATATACGGAGGATTTCCTATGCCCTAGGGTTTTAATAATGTGTACTGGTATATTGACACTGAATAGTTGGAACAGTTGAGTCCTAGTCACATAATTAAGGATCTGGTATATAGCATGAATTTTAATTAAGATCTGGTATATAGCATGAATTTCGGAGTCGTAAGGACAGATCCGTGTAGTGTAAACAGTGGTTGTGAGGGGTAATTGCAGGGGATATGAAGATATGAGTCTAATACTGCTTTGGGGAACCATTTGTTATTCGTAGGGTTTCTACTGGTAGGTTATGTTCACTTGTTTTAGTATGGGGTAAGGAAAGTATGTAATGGTCAGCTTGTTTATGTATATGGGATCTTCTAAGGCAATACTGTGTGTTAGATGTGGTGGTAGTGGTACATTCCCATGGCCTAAGGAAGGCATAAAAGGCTATGTACATAGCAATCTTAATGACCTCATTAGTAAGGGGTTCGAAAGGGCCCGAATCCAAAAGGTCAGATAGAGATTGGAATAGGTTGTTATCAATAGGTAATCTCTTCTGAGTACGTGGGGGAATTGATTTCTGTATGCCTTTGAGTATAAGGTTTAACATATGATGTATACCTGTAAGGTATAACTTAATGGTGTTGTGAGATAAGGTTTGAGGTGGCAAAAAGAAGCAAAACCTATTAACGCTGTCATAGCGAAAGTATGAGTAATGTTATGTTTCAGGATGAATCTTTTGAATAAAACAAAGGCTCTATCGTAGGTTCTTTGTGTTTTGACCAAGAGAGACAGTTTAGAAAACTTCCGGCTGTGTTGTAATAGGATATCTAATCCATGATCAGGTTCTGAAATGAGGGGGTGGCTGTGGCTACTTGTGCGGCCGTGGGCAGGGCTTGGTGAAATGCCTGGAATTGAAACCGAGACAATCTGTCAGCAGCAATATTATTAACCCCAGGTACATGAATGCATGATATGAAAAATTGGTGACAAGCAGCCAACCAAGTTAATCTCCTATTTCATGATAGTTAAGGATGATAAGCGTCCTTTATTGATAATGTGGCATGCGGCTTGGTTATATGAATAACAACGTACCGAATTGCCTGACCAAAATGGAGACAAAAAATGGGAGAAACAGGGAAGCAATGCTAACCCTGGTGTAGAAATCCTTAATATGGTAGGTAGCAAGGTGAAAAAATAACGAATTACTTCTCACCTTGTCAGGAGCCTTTAACTGGGCTCCAAGTATATAAGCACAGTGTCAAATAGAGTGACACTTCCCTTCTTGATAGCAGCATAAATGTATCACTAGTCCACTTGGTAAAAGAAATTAACATTTATTGTAACTTATTAAAAACAATTCAATTAAATCTGTATACTCAAGTGTCAGTGCTGTGTCCAAGACGCGTTTCGTCGATGTATTGTTCGGCTTTATCAATTGGTAAATATGATACTGCTAGAACAAGATTTAAATACCCCCTAGTGGGGGACTGATTGGAAGGGAACGTCCATGATACATCGAATCACGGCGTTGATCCTGGTAAAAGGCTCAGCTATTTCTAATGTCTCCGATACTGTGACGTCATTACGCACAACGTCTTGTGCGTGTGGCGTCACATACGGAGATAGACTGTGGTCATACAATTGCCCGGCATCGTTTTTATCGAGGCAAAGTTATATTCATTCAAATCGGTTTATCCAGTCCTCGATGGTATTGCGGCCATTTTGCTTGGTGGCAAACATAATGAATGTCCTCGATGGTATTGCGGCCATTTTGCTTGATGGCAAACATACTGAATGTCCGAATTAAATCCAATGATTGTCCAGTATCGCGGAAATATCCATTAGTATAATTGAATCCCCGAAGTTATAATCATAGTAAGGAGAAAGAGAACAATAATTTAAAGGAATATGTATATCAATATACAGGGAGTGCAGAATTATTAGGCAAGTTGTATTTTTGAGGATTAATTTTATTATTGAACAACAACCATGTTCTCAATGAACCCAAAAAACTCATTAATATCAAAGCTGAATATTTTTGGAAGTAGTTTTTAGTTTGTTTTTAGTTTAGCTATGTTAGGGGGATATCTGTGTGTGCAGGTGACTATTACTGTGCATAATTATTAGGCAACTT